CGGGCCCGCATAGCACCGCATCCCAGGCAACTGATAAGGACTGGCCACAACCACTGTTCGCAATGAGTTGTTCTGCCCTTTCCCACCTGGCCTCGGGCGGGAAGCGCGCGCATCCTGGCAATGGTATCGGATTGACCTCCATTGGCTCCACTGGCACTCGTGCCCACATGTGGTGCTCGGCAACTTCCAATGTCAGTTTGACTGGCAGGTGAGGGTACGTCGTGGCACCCTCCAGCACCTGATCACTTCGGGCCTTAAGAGCAAGCCCACTGGACAGACATAACTAGTCGAGGATTGCGCCTGGCTTTGCACTCATAGATGTGGGCTCAGCTGGCACCTTGGTGAATCCAGAGACAGAGTTGAAATTCTCGGTAAGCAGCTCGGGTGCCATGTTCCAATCTCCAGCATTGACCCAGTGGCGCTGCTGCACGTTCAGCATGCTGATATACTTGGCTAAGGCCGGGAATCTCTCCAGGTTGTCATCACGCAACTCAATTGAGTCGGTCAAACAGATTGATATGAGCACCACACCCATCTCAGGCACCCAGTGGAGATGCGAAACCAAGACACGACCTGGAACCAGCTCGGGCCCCTCCAAGCCTGGTCCAAGACTGACACGAATGCGCTTGGGCGCTAGGACCGCTAGGCCCCCGCACGTGCCTCCTCTGCCTGCGTCTGGCGCTGCGGCCCAAAGCCCCGCGAAGCCCAGCCGAGTAGCAGCCGCTTGTACATATGGCAGGTGCTCTCGGTCAGCGCGATGCTCCTGCGCCAACACTATGGAGTCGCTGCAGCTGGGCATGCTGAGGACATCAGTCAGCACCCCATGTGAAGAACTATTCGCTGTGACAACACTGCACACTGGAACTGCACCTGCTCCTGGAGCAGCACCTGCAAACATGACCCAGAGTAGGCCACCTGCAATGCGAGCATGGAGGCGTTGAGCACCTCCACGTTGAAGGCCAGGTGATGTCCGACCTTCAGCATCCTGACGATCTGTTGTTCTTAGCCGCATCGAGCGCAACGCGGGGGGGGGGGCTTGGTAGGCCTGCGCACCGCATTCGTCGGTTGCCACTGACCAACCCACTGCAGTTGCCGGTCCACCACTGCATGCATGCTGCCATGGCCATCGCAGCCCACGAAGTCCACGATCCCTTCTCTGCTCGCCTGGCGCCTGCCCTGCCTACCCCGTGCGAAGGCGCATGGCCACGAGGGCCGAGAACATTAAGGCATAGCCACCAACGCAAATCAGGGGATGGGCTGCGCACGAGCGAGTGCAAGGGCAGTGACTGAAACCGCCTGCGCGACACCAGCGTGGGAGGCGTAGCTGCACCTGGTGTGCACGTTCCCTTCTCTGCTCGCCTGGCGCCAGCCCTGCCAAACCCATGCGAAGGCGCACGGCAGCAAGGGCCGATAACATTAAGGCCTAGCCACCAACACGTATGCGGGGATGGGCGGCAAACGAGTGAGCGCAAGGGCAGTATCTGAACCCGCCAGGAGGTCATGAAACCGAGGACCAACCAAATCAGAAAGCCGAACATGCATACAGCAGGCTCACGTTGCCACCTTGCGCCTCTTGGCGTAGTCGTTGGCCGCCTCAGCCATCCTCTTGACCCTTTCACGGACTTCGGCCTCCTCTGCTGGCGGCTCAATCCCGACTGCGGTGAGGCACGAGCGCAGCTCCTCAATGTCGTCGGTGTCCATAGGGACTGCAGCTGCTGCATCTTGCTGCTGCGCCTGTCTCTCAGCCTCAGGTGCTTGCCCGGGCTGCTGACCAGGGGGCGGCGCCTCCGAGGGCGAGGGCGCGGCGGCGGCTTGTGCAGTCGCCTTGGCCTGCAGCTCTCGTAGCGCCTCGAAGCACGTGCTGACCGAGGCGGCGAGGGTAGCGTCCGCCCCCATCTCGCGCAGCATCTCCCCAAACTTGTCGACTGGGAGTTCCAACGCGGGCACCGTGTTCTTGAGCGAGAAACTGCCTGCTGCAACCGCGGGCGCTTTGAGCGCCACTTGTACCCGCTGGGCCTCGAGGTCGATGATATCTTGCTCCAGCTTGGCGAGCTCCGAAGCGGTCTCACCAATGAGCAGCTCGAGCTTCTCCTTATCTGCCTGCTGGCTTGCCAGCTTGCCTTCCAACTCTGACTGCTGGCGCTTGCACTGGTCGATGCGAAACGTGCAGTGATGCACCTGCGATGAGAACGGCTTGTTGGCAACGATGCGACCCTTGAGCTCATCTCGTTCACGTGCGAGCTCATCACGGGCCCGCACCACGGCAGCGTCCTCGAGGGAGCCGGGGGCTTTGAGGGTGGTCGCGATCTCGCCCAGCCTCTTCTGCTCAAGGTTGGTTGGCTCCGAGACCAGCGGCTCCTGACTGGCTGCGGCGCCCGCGCCCGCTGCCTGGAGCTGGGCCTTGAGACGAATGATCTCGAGGTCCTTGGCACGGAGCTCCTTCTTGGGATCGGTGTCCTTGGGCTTGGGCGGCAACTGCTTGGCGTGCGTGCTGGGCAGGACGGGCGCCTTGTTGCCTCCGAAAGCGACTCCCTTAGTGCACGAACACATCGAACACGAGAGCAACTCAGCCTTATTCCACCACTTCTCGCCTGTCTTGGGGTGTACGCACCATCGGCAATGCTACGCCTGTGCCCAGGCACGTCTGGCGGCCGCCGCAGAGCCATTGGAAGGCGGACGTCCTCCATTGGCCATGTCACACCTGCGACAGGAGAGGTTAAACTGGATGCTGCGTGGCCGGGTGGCACGCGCAGCGGAGCGATGAAGAAGTTGAGCACTGGCCGCGGACTAGCGGTATCCACTTGTTTCCGCTGGGAAACCAAAATTTGATCCAAAATGGCTGCGGAGGCAAGACAGGAGGAGGCAAGAGGGAGGCGGGACGGGAAAAAGGGAGTGGAGACCACACTGCTCTAGTCAAAACGAATACCCAACCAAGGAGGGTTTGGAAAAAAACAAGCAAACCGCTTGAGACATGCCCACAAAACGGCTGCGAACGGGACCGTGTCATACCCCTCGGCGCTCCCTGTAGGGGTGCTGAAACCAGCGCCCCGCCTGAGACATCCTCACAATCTGCTTTCCAAGCGAAAGATGTTGGGACATAATACAAGCAAACCGCTTGAGACATTCCCACAAAACGGCCGCGAACGGGACCGTGTCATACCCCTTGGCGGCCCCCCTGAAGGGGTGCTGAAACCAGCGCCCCGCCTGAGACATCCTCACAATCTGCTGTGTGTTGAGTAAGTCAGACAATGAGAAGGTCTGAATATGAGTAAGTATGGGTACGAGTGAGTCTCAGCATGAGTAGGTCTGAGTATGAGTAGGTCTGAGTATGAGTAGGTCTGAGTCTGAATAAGTTAATATGATCAGGTCTGGGTAGGAGTAAGTCTGTGTATGAGTAAGTCTGTGTATAAACAAGTCTAGGTATGAGGAGGAGGAGGAGGATAATAAGAGGAAGGAGGAGTAGGAGGCGTCCAAATAATAACAAGAACCCCATCTTAGGATATGGGAAAAGCACAAGCGTTTAAAGCCAAGCTCGCAAACCGAGCCTCCTGGGGAGGTGTTTCCCAGGGGGAGATCGGCGGCGGCCCGCAGCGCTTCAGAGATTTCCCAGAGGCGGGTTGGGGTGGGCGGGAGCCTGGGGCCAACGCGAGCAGTCCTGTGGATATGACAAGCTGCGACCACTCTCCTGATGCCCGTGGGGGGGGGTCTAACAGGGCGAATTTGGAAGTTGCGCGCTCTGGAAAGGGTCCCTTCATTGTCAAAGACCAGCACGTGTTGAAGTGTGCGCATGTGTGGTAATGTCGTAAATCATCCCATGCGCTGAACCCGAAGACGCACGTGTGCGATTATTGCTGGGGCTGGTGTTCGGTGGTCCAGTTTCCGCACCACGTGCGGAGACATGCGAGAGCCCAAACGACAGGGACCTTGAGGAGCTGAGCTCTGAGGGCCACCCCGGGGAAGACAAAATCGGGCGGGAGTTCTCCAGGCGAGGCGCACCATTTTCGGGAGCGGGTGGAGAGGAGCGAGGGGAAGTCGCCGGGGAAGAGCGAGGAGGCGAGGGAGCGGTAGAGGTGAGATTGAAGACTGACCCTGGGGGTGTCCCTCATCGCCTGCCGCGCGCTCTGCACGGCCAGGGCAACGCTGGTGGCTATGCGCCTCTTGGCAGGGAATCCCGCGAGAGCGGTCTCATACGTGCGCACAATGGGGGGCGAGCGCCAGAACTCAAGGGAAATCCATCCGCCCTCCTGGAACACACGCGCCACCGGGATCTCACGTTCGGCGTAAAAAACAAGCCGGGCAAGGAGTGCTCGCCAGCGAGGCAAGGTTTTCAGAGCGCAGCGGAGGAGGGTAGCGAGGGAGAGGGCAAAAGGGCTTTAAATGCCGGGCCCGCCCCAGAGCTGGAGGGCAGTCCAGTCCTGCTGCCGCCATGGTGAGCCAGGGAGGCGAAGAAGCCTGGTGAGGACAAATCATTGAGCTCGGTGCGGGTCCCGTCCCACGATGGGGGGAAGAACTGCGACAAGTAAGACAGGGAAAGGAGGGCACGAGTGCAATACAGGAAAGCCGAGAAATTAGCGCCGCCTCCTATCGCCGCGTACTTTGCTGCTCGAGCCCGCAATGCCGAAGTCGTCTCGAGAGTGCGTGAGGGTTTGTGCAGGGCGGCTCAAGACTGGGGAGACTTCGGAGTGCGAGGCTCCAGGACCTATCTTGGTGCTGAGGCAGGGCCAGTGGCAACGATAGCTAGCAATCTCCGAGAGCCCCTTGCCAAGAGGAGGAGGAGGAGGAGGAGGAGGAGGAGGAGGAGAAGAAGGAGGAGAAAAAAACCCAAGATGATATCCCGTCGTGGTCGTACTTGCTAACTCCTCCGCCCTCCCTCCTCCCGCGCATCTTCGTCCTCCCTATCCTTCGTGGCCCTCCTTCTCCCGCTCTTCCCCTCCCTCCCGCGCCTCTTCGTCCTCCCTATCCCTCTTGGTCCTCCTCCTCCCGCTTTTCCCCTCCGGTGCCTGGGCAGCTGCAGCCGCGGAGGCGTCCGCCAAGAACCCTAAGAGCTTCGCCCGCAGCACCTCGTCTGCCTCAGTTCACAACCGGCACTCCCAGGACGAAGAAGGAGGCAGGGAGGACATGTCCCCAACAATGCTTGCAGCAAGGGTTTTTTGCCTGGCTCAGCAAAATGGGAAACTATAGTCGCGCGTTCTCGTTATCGCCCTGGTGCTCCAAGGTTGGTTCCTTCTGGCTGGGGCCGAGTGCTGCCGTAATGACTGTGAATTCTCGTTCTTGCCTTAGTGCCCTCTGGGCGGTGCTCTATTACTGGTGCTCTATGGTGCCTGAATGGTTGCGATTTCTCGTCTCGTTCCTGCACTGGTGCTATACGGGCGGCCCTCTACGCCGCCCTGTGCTGCCTAAGTGGTTTCGAATGATCGTTATTGCTCTGGTGCTATATTATGATGTCTCAATTGCCCCGATGAGCCGTTCAAGGGCTTGCGCCCTGAGGGTGGGGCAACATGGATTCGTGCGACATGATGCCACAGCCGTTGCAGCTTCTCGTGTCTACCACGGCGCCCTACTAAGTTGTTATGCAACGCGCACGCCATAATGCACCAGCTGTTGCGAACCATTCGTATTACATTGGTACCCGATGGGTGGTGCTCTATGCCTGGTGCCTTTGATCAACTGAGCTTCGTGAATGGTCGTTACTGCACTGGTGTTGTATGTGTTACGCTCTGTTGCCTGGTGCCCTATGACGCATAAGGTGTTGCGATGTCTCGGTCCCACCTCGGTGTCTCATGGGAGGTGCCCAACGATAGTTGCACAATGTCTGTTGCACCACGCCGATCGCATATCGAGAATGCTCGATGTTGTTTTCCTGATCGTGCTCGTCCCTCCTTGGAGCCGGGTACAGGGCGGGTGGCGTCCCTCTCGGCGCCACATCTGCCGCAAATCGCGTCAGGCGTGGAGACCAGGAGGGCCCCGATACCACGGAGGAGGAGGCACGGGCAACCGCCAGCAACTTATGGTGTGCCCTGGGGACCCTGGGCGGCAGGGCCGCCCTGGCCGTGGCGTCGCTGGAGGGAGGAGGAGGAGGAGGAGGAGGAGAAGGAGGAGGAGGAGGAGGAGGAGGAGGAGGAGGAAGAGGCGTTGGGGCCCCGAGGTCCCCCGAGGCCACGCCTAGCGCGGCCACACTCCCCATGCCGAATCGCCTCGTCCTCCCATTTGCATTATTTTGTTCCCTGCAAGGCCCGCGATTGGAGTCCCTGCCAGGACTGCTTCCTCATCTACTTCATCGTCCCCATCAACTTCATTGACCTCGACTACGGGGCCACCGCGTCCTCACTCCAGAGGACCTCAACCGCAGCACCCACGGGGGCCGACCCCTGGCACCGTCGTTTGCCTGGCACCATCGCCTGCGCCGCGAGCGTGCCGACGCTCGGGTGCTACTCCGCCTCGACCGAGCACGCCAACTGCTCGCTGACCACCACAGCACCCAGCAACTACCTCGACTACCAGTCGCCACCATGGCGCCAAAGATGACCCAGACTCCAGCCGGCAGCTACCACAACAAGCAGTGGCACCATGAGCAGTACCAGCACCGACACCAGCAACACCAAGGGGGCACCACAGGAACCCCTCGGACACAATGGCGAACCCGCAGCCGTGACGACACCCGCGGCACGGGCAGTAGCAGCTCCATGGGACAGCAATACCAGCAGCAAGCACAAAAACAACAACATCACAGCCTCAACGTGCAACGCAGACAGGAGAAGAGAAAAAAACGGCTGCCAACATCGTCCCCATGACCCTCACCGAAGCCACAAGACAGCAGCATTGGAATGAGCCACCCCCAATGCACCGCTTCGACAGAACCAAAGAGTACCGCAAGCATTGCAAATCAGACGTCGACTACCTCATTACCACCACCCAGCGGCAAGCCAACGACGACTACGACTTCGACGAAATCGTCACCAAGATCCGCCTACAGAAGTCCATGCTACTATACTCGTGCGACGCCAAGGACCAACGGAGAGATGTCGAGAGCAGGATCAACGACACAAATACACAGATGGACGACTCACAACAACAGCTGGAGGAGCTCCGGCACAAGGCTATAGTGCTGGGAGACCGGCATCGCCAACTTCGAAGGCTTCACGACACCATCAGGGGGGCAGACTCGGACGACGATGCGGACGCCGAGTCAACAACAACGCCCAGAAGGCTCACAAAGCAACAACGCTCCGACACCCCTGCGCCCAACATGGGGAGACGCCACCGAGGATGCATCGGGGAAATGTCACCAGCGCCACCAGCGACTCAAACACCCACGGAGACCTCCACCGTCGACAAGCTGCGACAAGAGCTACAAGAAGCACAGCAGAAAGCTGACGCACAACGAAGTCATGCTGCGCATCAAAGAGCCACCATCAACCAGGTCGAGGAAGCGAAGGAGTCCCACTACAAGAACGAAAAGGAAAGCGACCGCAGGCTCCAGCGCTTCGAGAAGGACGAGATGGAGGAGCACAAGAAGGAGATCCACACCGTCAGGATTGTAACCGAGAAGATCGCAGTGCGCAGTGCTCACAAGACAGAGAAAGACAGCAACGCCATCGAGAATCTTAAGAACGAGCTCCGCGAGGCCAACGACATCATTCGCCAGGCCGTGGCCGCAGCCGCAAAATCTCCCAAGAGTCAAGACAATGCTACGAGAGCTACGAGGAAACAGCCACCACCAGCGAACACCTACAGAGAGCCCTGGAAGAAACACGACTACAAATACATAAACCACGACAGCCATGAGTTCCCGACGCGCTCATGCAGTACAACAACCTAGAGAAGAGCTTAGAAGAGAAAGACGAAACCACGCAGCACCTCGAGCACCAACAACAGATCATCATCGACGATCTACAGCAGACAGCGAACGCAGCCCATCAACTCTACGACCAATAGCACGCACAAGAGCAGCCCCGACAAGAACTCGCCACAGCAGAAGCCAAGAACGCGACCGTCGAGGACCAGGCCCGCAAGCACATCCAGTGCAACTACAACCTCTCAGAGCAAAGGACCAACTACCTCGAGAACAAGATCCACGGACAGAAGCAGACCGCGCACACCGAGGATAACCAGTACCACAACAAGACCGAGATCACCCAGGCACTAGAGGGACGGACCGAGGACATGCAGAACCACGTCACCCAGCTTCACCAACACAAAGAGGTTTACGCGGCGACAGCGGCGCTACAGGCTGAACGTTTACACTACGACCAACACCACCTCAACGCCACAAAAAACCCTCATAGAAACGCAGCAACAACTCCCCCAACGGCTACACAACAAGCAACATGTCACAGAGACACACATGCAGCAACGAGCAAGACAGCTCGAGGACGCCCACTCAGAGATCCACGCCACGCAGAAGGAACGAGAAGCAGACTTCGTCCACGACCTCGCCGACCAGTTCAGGGACGACGATCCTCGCTCCGACGCTACCTTCCTTCAGGCGCCACAAGGAACAGGACCGCAAGAAATCGATCAAGGAGCCCGGCTCATCGTCATCCCTGGCGCCGAGATTTCCAACGTCGACGACCGCGGCGCACAAACCCAAAGGGGCGATCACCAACAAGAGGAGGATCTGCTCAACCTTACGAAGACGACATCCGAAGACGAGCACTCAGCCACTGCTCCTTGTTCTCCGCTGTCGCGGTAACGAGGTCCTCGTCCGTCCACTTGTAGCCCATCACTTGCGCGAGCTGCTTCCGCTGGGTGCCCTGATCAACTTCGCGCATGGCGATGGTGCTGATGCTCTCGCAGCGGCGCCTCTTCGTCTTCATGATGTAGCTGCTCATGGTGTCATCCTCGTTGACCACGTGGAAGTGGAAGAGGCCTTCTGGCGCCTCGGCGGCCTCCTCGGCGGCGCCAGCGCCCGCTGCAGCAGCGGGCGCTTCGGCCGCCTCGTCCAGCGCCGCCTCTTCTCCGTCGGCGGCCTCTTCTCCGTCCTCCGCCCCCTCGCCCTCCGCTTCCTCCTCCTCTTCCTCCTCGTCCTCAGCCTCGAACGTTCCTTCCTCGACCTCGTCAGTAGGATCGCCTGGCGGGTCCTCGCCCACAGCTTTCGCCTTGCAGCACGTTTTTTTTTTTTTTTTTTTTTTTTTTTTTTTTTTATATATCATCGCGGCCTTGGGTTTCGTTTTGGCAGCGGGCTTCTCGGGCTTGGGCGTCGCCTTGGCATCGGGCGTCGCGGGGCTCTCCTCGGCGGCGCTTTTCTTCTTGGGTCGCGGGCTTGCGGCGGGCCTCTTCAGCGCGGCTAGCCGCGGCGGCGCGCGCGCAGCGGCTGCTGTTCGATGTGTTGATTTCTTCTGATATTTATTGCGCTTCTTGTGCATCTCATTTGGCAGCTCTGCACCCAGCAAACTCCGCAAGACAGGGGCGCCCTCGGAACCCGCGCTCGCACTCGCACTGACTTCGGCGACCTCCCCTTTACGTTGGACCCTGCAGCGACCGTCGCAATCATCATCAACATCATCGGCACCATCATCGTCATCATCATCAGCACCGTAACCAACATCATCAGCATCATCGGCAATATCGCCGTCATCATCATCACCATCACCATCATCATCGCCATGTTCATTGGTATCACCATCACCAGCATAATATTCGCAACCATCGTCATGTGCATTGCCACCCCCACCATCGTCACCATCAGCATCACCATCATCATCATCAGCATCACCATCACCATCAACATGATCATCACCATGATCATCACCATTAGCATCAGCAGCATCATCATCACCAACATCATCATCATCATCACCACCATCCTCATCACCATTAATACCATCATCAACATCATCATGATCGCCATCATCGCTGCCAGTATCCCCATCATCATCGTCACGTGCCATCACCGTAACCATCACAAACCACCATCAAGAGTACCATCAACATCGCCAGCGTCAACGTCATCGTCGTCGTCGTCGCCATTGTCACCGTCGGCGCCGCCGTCGCCAGTGCCATTCGTCTTCGGTATACAATGAGTGTGATCGCCATCGTCGTCATCGTCGTCATCGTCGCCGTCGTCGTC